GTTTGGCCCAACAAATTTAGTTTGCTGTGAGAGTCACCAAACTCTCTCTCTCCGAGTTTGCTGCAACAACAATTTCACGCAGTTTGCCAAACAGAATTTCTGCATAACACCGACCTACCAAATGATAGAAAAGAGGAAATTTTGACGGATCAAAGTAAAAATCTGACATTTCTCGTGGAGAATGCGAACGTCAGAATTTTACCTAGCTCATGGGGCTAGGTAAGATTTTGACAGCTTATAACCACGTATACACATAATATTGCCTGGCGGTAATAAAGAGTGAACATGAAAAAGAAAGCTGAAACATCATAAAAAAGCGTACGTTACTAGCAAATTGTACAATAAATATAAATTTTAAGAATTTCAGCAACACACAACAATAAAGCTTTCGCACGGGCGTTTGTTTGGGTTTTCAACTGTCAAAATTTTACTTTGCATTTGGCACAGCAAACTTCAATTTATTTATACTGCACCATAGGAAATTTTTCCACCCCGTCTCACTGCGGAGAAAAAAGTTACCGATTGGCACAGGCCCTAAAATAAAATTGGAATGACTGGCCACACTATAGCCTTATTTGATGGTTGGTAATACAAGATCATCAGCTGATTGTTTTGTACTAAATTGACTTATTCATACGAAAGAATTAAACAAATAAATCCGAGTTTAAAACAAAATGTTTATTGTGGCCATAACTGGGGGAATAGCTACAGGCAAGAGCACGGTGAGCCAGGTCTTCCTAGATAATGGTATACCAGTTGTTGACGCCGACAAAATAGCCAGGGAAAGTATGTAATTAAAAAAGTTGCATCATTACCATCAATTAACATTAATTAATTTTAACGAACGCTATGTAAAACTTATTTGCAGTTGTGCAACCTGGAACAACGTGTTGGCACAAAATACGACAAGTGTTCGGCGATGAAATTCTTCTGCCAACTAAAGAAATCAATCGTGAAGCCTTGGGGAAGGCCATTTTTGGCGACAAACAATTACGCGGCAAATTAAATCAAATTACACATCCGGTAATTCATCGCACAATTTTCCTGCAGGTATTTAAGCATTTCATGAGTGGGCGTTCTTGGATTGTGCTGGATTTGCCGTTGCTCTTCGAGACCGGCATACTTATGGAATTTATCTATAAGATAATTACTGTGTCTTGGTAAATAAAAACAAAAACTTTTATTACATAAAATAATGAATCATGAATCATGTTTATGCTGAACAATTTCATTTCCAGTGACTCTGAAACGCAATTAAATCGTCTTATGCAACGTAATGAATATTCAATGGAGGATGCTAAAACGCGCATTCAGTCACAAATGCCATTAGATAAGAAATGTGAACAGTCGAATTTTGTCATTGATAATTCCGGTAGTATTGAAGAAACAAAGGAAGCAGCTTTGCGCATTGTGAGACTAATGAACGATTCCAAACATCATTGGCGTAATCG